GTTAGAGAGTGAAACCTGAGACAAACTACCGTCACCTTTTGATGAGCTGCTCATAGTTTAAATGATCCACAAAAACAGTTCATCAGCAGAAAATGTGTAATTCATTCTGCAGTCACTGATGAAGAAACAAAATTTCCCCAGAGCTCTTTAGATGTTGGGGTTCAGGTCAGATGTTCTAAGTAGGTTTGAGGTCAAATGTGAAGTTGCAGTTCTGATTCCTCGGATCAAAGCCTGATGAAGATTTTTCTCCACTCAGACCAGTTGAAGTAAAGCAGGAATTTAACGTTCTCGTGTGTTTTTGTGTTTATACAACATGGGAGGAGTTCTTCCTGTTGGTCTGCAGCTCCATCCACCCAGGCAGACAGAGATCCCTTCAGACCAGGGATCCTTCTGCAGCCTATCAACACAGATTCACTTTACATCAAGATGTTCTCCTCAAACATATGATATCATCAACCAGAATGAAACTATGCATATTAAGCATAAAACAAAAGGAACTCATCATCATTCTACAGTATGTCCTTGCACAATTTTCTGGCTATGTAATTGTAAAAGATTGCTTTTCTGCTTTCTTAAATCAAGATACCTCAGAATGAGTGTCAAAATGTCACATTAACCAAGTAAACCCATTTAAACTTGTTTAAGCAGAAACCTTAGTGTCTCAGCAGAACCATACTGGGTATGTAACTGGTGGTACAAAGACAAGAGTCAGGATTTGCACTACTTGCAGGCATAGCAGGACCTCACAAGGCTACCAGAAGGAGCACCAGCCTGTTAGACTGAGTTTAAACAGCTGCTACAGGCCCAGAAATCTCTCCCTAGCCAGAGTGAAGGACTAGACTCAGGAATCTATGGGGACACCCAGTAGCCCAATGAGCAATAGGTCTGGCACCTCCTGGACCTGGTAGGGGTGTTCACTCTATACTGAGGTCCTCCTGGAGGAACTGGGAGATAATGGACTCTACCACAATGGAGGACTGTGAGTAAAAAAAAACAAAAACAAAAAAAAGATTTTATCAACATGATTGAGTGAGATTGTGGATGTCGGAGAAGGGTTAGAATTGCGAGACGGTGTCAGCCTTGGAGTCCTGAGGATCTGTACAGAGCAGCTCTGTTGGCTTTTGCAACACCTCCTAAACCTCAGCCTGACCCAGGAGACATTTCCAGTAATATGGAAGACCTCCTAATTGGTTCCTTTTTTCATGCTAGGACTCGTGCGCGCCTTGTCATGAGAGAGGGGAGGATGTGATTGGCTGATGTATAGTGAGATTCCGTCTGTCGGTTGGGTAGGTGGGTGTTTCCGCTGGCGGGTGTTAACGTACAGCACACACAGAGAGATGGAGAGTGAGGAGGACTCCTGCGGCAAAACAGCGTTTTCCACATGGAAATACAGGTGTTACGTCGAGCTGCGTTTCCCCATCAGATGCGGTTTCCCCTGCATCTCAGCACAGCGCAGGCGGTACCAATCACCGCGCATTTGACAGGAAACGCGCATGCTCGCTAAAGGCGATTAACAGCCGCCCTGTGCTCGCGCCACAGGGGAACTATGGAGAGCGTGAACGATCAAATGATAGCCTATATGGATGGATGGATGGATGTTGCAGTATCTATAACAACCCAAACACACAGGATTTCAGAATTAGACATCCCCAGTTATTAATTTCATACACTCACCAGATCTGAACGCCCTGTTTAAAAGCTTCACACCAATGAGTAGAGGTAATGCAGCCTGATGATATTTACAACGCATCAGATAGCGTTCCCCCCATGTTAGACAGGGGGGGAACGCTATCTGACGGGGTTTATAGGCCCGTCAGATAGCGTTCCCCCCTGATGTCATTTATGTTGAGTTGCAATAAATGCTAAACTCTCTGCAGGTTCTTGTCTTTGTCGTCCGCTCTATTCAGCTGGCTTTGAAACACACGGCGAGAAGGTGGGGGCCGGGTGGGGAGGGTTACGGGGGCAAGAAACGCAAAAGTAACACAATACTTACTTTTACTAGTAACTAGTTACTTTTATTGTGGTGTAACTCAGTAACTCAGTACTTTTTGGGAGAAGTAACTAGTAACTAGTAACTATAACTAATTATTTTTTCAAAATAACGTGCCCAACACTGCCCCCTGCAGTTTGATTATCACCATGGCGTTGGAGTTAAAGATACCACCTGGTTCCACGAACCCACTTTCATTTAAAAAGGCCAGAAAGCATTGTGGGGATCATTTTCTTTGATGTCCTTTGATTCCACGCTTTAATGCAATTTAGTCTGATTTTCTTTACCAGGAACTCCAGAAGACCCCAACAATGGCCTAGATCAAAGACTCCTGACAAACAGTATAATCAGTAGCACATTACTTTTTACTCTGTACACCTCCAACTTCCAGTGCAAGACAAAGTCCAGTGATCTGCAGAAGTACTCTGATGACTCTGCAATCATTAAATAACTTGGTGTTCACCTATATAAGACACTCAACTAGAGACGCAGTTTAGCAGTAATCTTGAAGCTTATATCATCCAGCGGTTGTAGCAAGATGCTTCAATTCTTTTATAAGTCTAGTGTGGAGAGTGCGATGTCTTCTGCAATAACTGCTGAGGTAACATCATAAAAAAAAACGACTTAAAGAAGCTCCACAAGCTGATAATAATCCTGGCTCTGTTCTGGGAACCTTTCTAGGTGATTTCACAAACGGTAATTCTTCATAAAATGAAGAGTATTATGGACAACAGTCTTCATAAGATTGTTGAACGCCAATAGAGCATCTTTAGTGAAAGTTTTCCTCCAGATGCAGTGAAAGATCCTTCCTGTCCACAGCTATCAACATCTTCAACTACCAGTTCAATAAAACCCTATGTGTTAGGAAAACATTTTATTTCCCCTAATTTTTGATAAATATTTTACATTAAACTGAGCTCAACTGGCTACTCGCTTGCACCTGAGTAGGATAAAGACTGAGTTGAGATTTGAGATTGAATGTTGATATTTATAGAGTCTTGTTTGGTCAGAGACAGAGAGGTTTAAAATATCAAAAGATATGGTTCCTTCATAAATGTCAGGGGTCCTGATGGGTTCATCTGCTGAGATCAAGAATAAGATGAACATAAATGATGAATCTAAATGAAGCCTTTTATTTTACGTTGGCACTGAAGCTGTGAAACTGTCAGAATAGTCTTCTTAAAACTGTTGGTTTGATTATAATGGAAATGATGATTGAGTGCAGCTGACTGAATAAGGCCCTGGTGTGAAACCCTTACAAGGACAAGTAAGGCTCTATAGATGTCCAGCCGTGGGAAAATGTGTAGACTAACAATTGTTCACGTCTTTCTGTACTGAAAAGCTCATTGTTAGACAGTTTGTCTTATTCTTACACAACCACCGCCCCAAAACTGAGTCTCTCATTGAGCCCAGAAGCATTGCTTTTCAGGGCAGACTGGTTCTTGTTAGGATCCTCCCATGCAAACCAAATCCAGTTGAGAGACCCGTCTATGGATGAATGAGAAGCAATAAGCATCTAGTTGCTACAGTCCTATCCAGGAAAACAGGGTACAGCCTAAATAGAAATAAATGAGACTTCCGAACCCATCAGCCTATGTGCTGCAAGGCAACTCTGGCTATGAACTACCCCTTAAACTGTCTCTGCTCCAAAACACCTGCTTCAATTCAGTTTATTTATAAAGCACCAATTCACAGCACATGTCATCTTATGTTAAATAAACCCCATTTAATTGTTTTAACTTTTCCCCTATTGGAGTCATTTTAAGTTTAATTGGATTATCAAGATTTATTAATTTAAGTGTATTAAACTATGACTCTGCTTCCTGGTCTGCATCCTGGGTTGTCAGAGTTTTGGAGTACTCATAAATTTGGCCAGATTCCTAGAAAGAAGGGCTGCACCATCCAAAGTGGGATGGATGCCGTCTCTACGAATCAGACCAGGTTTTCCCCCTCAATGATTTCCATACGATTCAAATGATTGCTCTTCCTTAGCAGTCATCCATTGCTGCAGAAGCCTGTTGATCACATAATTGTTCAAATTGCTAGGTGTGTGGCAAAAAGAAAACACCTGGAACATGCAGATCAGGGGTAACTGCTGAGCAGAGCTGGAAACCGGTGTAACAGACCGCTCTGGTTGGATGACAGCTGGAGGCCAAGGCGTTGGTGGCTTCAAATCTAATTGGTGAAAATAAGTCATAAATTGTCCCTCAGGGTTCCATAAAATGGTTTGACGTTGTAGCAGACATGATGGAAGACTTCAAGAGTTTTATGGTGCCTTGAAGCCTTTCATCTTGAACACATGGAACACGATTTTGTGTCCAATCAGACAGAAAACCATGTAGGAAGAGATTGCAGCGACTATTTACTCTCATTGAGCGTCAATGGGGATGAACACATCAAGGGGGCTTGCTCCGATAGAGATAGACCCCCGGTCTATTTCTGTTTGAATAAGTGTTATTTCAGCAGCAATTTCATGGATCTGACAGGGATTGAGCTAAAAGATTGCTTTGAAGGAAATACAAAGTGAAAGCTCTAAATCACACGTTTGGAATCACACACAGATCGCAGGTTAGACTGGGATATAAACAACCAATAAAGCAATTTGATATGTAGAATACATTACACGTAATAGTTCAGAAGGATAAGGAATGGATAAAGTCAAACAGTGACCCTGTTTGAGCCTCACAAATCAAAACAATGACAGATAGTACAGGACATGAAGTGAATAACTCTCCTCCCTTTATGAAAAAAAAAAAAAACCCCAAAAAACTTTGACAAACTTCACCTTTCACTGCCCCACCATTACCTTCAATATATAAACCGTCCCACAGCCTTTATTACTGCGTTTTTATTCTCTTTAAGTGAAAAAAAAAACTGCACAGAGCAGATCTATGGCTTCAAGGACGCTCAAGGAAAAAAAAGAATGTATCTTAGCTTAAAAAGTTGGACGCAAACTCTGTCACCCAGACCTAATATGGTGCATTTCTCTTCTCTTTCTCTGACTCTGCAGGACCAAACGTCGCAGGGCCCTAGCTCACCCATATACGCAAACGTCTCCTCCCTGAAGAAAACTTCTCAGCCTCAGATCTCTATCACTTCCCAGCCCCCTGCAGACTCTGAACCTTCAGCAGCAAATGATGCCGTCTTATCTACCAGCTCCTCCTCCAGCAGGATAAGCCCCGCCTCCCCTGGGAGCCCACAGGATGTATGGCAGGTAAGGTGGCCCAACTCCAGGTGTGTTTTAGCTATTCGTGGAGAAATATTCAAAGCCCAAAGGAACTAAATAGTTGATTCTGAATGAAACTGTAGAAAACTCAAACTATTGAGTGACTGTTAGATGAGCTGCTGGCTGAAATGCAGAAAAAATACTTAAGTTTTTACATTTTTCTGTCAAGAGATAATAATGGCTTTATTTTTAAGTTTTTATGTCTGAACAGAGGGCTTGTGTTTAATCTTTCCCCTAGTCTGAGTTCATGTTACTCTGAAATAATTAAAGTTTGATCAGATGTTACCTGAGATCGTCAAGTTTCCTCCTCTGGGATCCGGTTCCTTCTGGGGAAAACCTAAATTGCTCAAAAGTACTTCAGCAATGAGACTTTTTCCATATCAACATCCTGGCTCTTCAGCTAATGAGAACTAAAGAGTCAATTTAGATAAAAAAAAGACAAAGGAGCTGAAACCATTCGTCTCTTTCTTTTAACAATGATAACCTCATAATAAAAAAGGAGCTGCATCATTATTTTGATACAAAATTGAAACAAACACTGCAGCTGAAAGAACAGCTTTACTATCTGATATAGAACTTTAGATCCAGAGTTTCAGTTGCAGAAAGGAAGCCTCAAGACATCTAAGAGAGTCTCCATCCACCACCCTCTTATGTTGCTGCCAACACAGAGCATGCACAGCTATGTTCAGTGGATCTGCAGTTCATTTAGACAGATTTTCTTTTTCACAAGCTGGAAAAAACAGATGCTTTCATCTGAGAAAGCTAAAAAGGACAAAATTAAAGGTCTAGAAAGATTAAGGAAAATCAATCTGGAGAAGGAAGGCTCAGAGACACCATGTCACAAAATAAAGATGTCTCCTCCTAAGAAACTACGACAAACTGTTTTTATTTGCCTTCAGTAGAATATGACTGAAATGTTTAAGCCACAAACCAAAAATGTTGCTGCAGAGGCTCTGATTTTTTCCATCCATGTCTGCTCAGGAGCACACTGATCAGGGGAGTGGAAGGAGGTTTTATTACCATCCTCTGACTAGACAGACCACCTGGTCGGATCACCGAGTTCATCCACCGACCGGTGACATGGACCCATACAGTCCGCTCTCCCCAGCCTCCTCCCAGGTATCACTAAGCTCCTCCAAGATCGGTAACACCTAATGGTCCTGCTCTCTGACCTCCGCCTCCATGTTCTCAGGGTTCTGGTGACTGGGAGGAGGTGACGGATGGGGCCACAGGCAGGGTCTACTACTACAACCCAAACACAGGAGCCACATCCTGGGATCCACCTGACCCAAAGTCCCCTTCATCTCCTCCTGGATCCAAGCAGGATTCTGGCCCGGTAAGAGCCGGAGATTATCCTGGATTATTCTGATTTAAGACCCTTAAAGTTGGCATTAGTGATTTATCTTTTAAAAATGTAGATCTAAGTGAGATAGTTCAGACTTTGTTGTATTAACAGTTGTCTGTTTGATGGTTTTTAGCCTCCGCTACCAAAGGCGGATTATCCCGTGGGCAAACATTGCGATGAGGAAGACTCTGTATTTATGGTATGAAAGAACCTCAGTTTTCCAGTATTCCACCTTTCTCTGGATTAATCTCTACTTTGTGCTCCCTACATCTGTAGAAGCCACTTCCTCAGATTCCAAGAGCTCAGCTGGACCTGAAGGACCCGACTAGCCAACAGAGGCAGCATGAGGTAAGCAGTCATAGGAATATTAATCCGATCTTCTCTGGAAATGATTTAGATCAACAGGTTTATCTGTTTTTTTAAGCAGAGGCTGGTGGGAAATGGAGTTTCTGTTGGGGGAGGAGCTCCCCAGGCAAGGAGCTTAAGACACAGTATCGCTGAAGATGTGAGTTAAACTAGACTGTAGGCTTCATGATCAGGAACTGTCCTGAGTGTTGAATCCTAACATTCCTGCTTTGTTTCATTCAGGTGTTTTCCCCTGGACACAGAAGGATCTCCTCTGACCTCACAGACGCTTCCAGAAAGCCTTCTCCAGACAGTCCACAGGTACAATTTCTCAGCGCTGCATCCCTTTCAGACACCCTCCCAGACCTTCATTACATCATTCGCAGATTTATTTGGGAGTCTGTAAATCATTTATTGATTTTCTGACATTTCATGATTTCTTGCACTCCTTTCTTCAGGTAACGACTTGTTCATGGGTTCACCAACTCACCAGACTTGTCCATGTGTTTACTGACTTGTTCAGCAATTTCCTGAATTGCTTATTCATTTGTCAAGCTGTTCATTCATTCATTAACTCATCCCATCATTTCCTCCTTCTATAGTTCCCCAATAGGTTCAGGCTGAGGAGGAATCTATCCAACCACAGCCCAGCCCCCTCTCAGCACCATGTAGGTTCTGACTGGCTGTTGGAAGTTAGAGGCAACATAGTAAAATCTACTAACATTTCTAACATGTCATTTGTTATCAGTACAGAACTTTTTGGGCAGCTGAGAACTCCTTGCACCCCATTTTCCAAACGATTTTAACAAATGAAATTCTTAATGCTCAATTATTCTGACGATCTCAGTTTAATGAAGACTTTTGCCCAGAAAGTTCCTAAGCGTGTGGCCTCTAATCCCACTAACCACTAATCATTAACTTTTCATCCTGTCATCTAACAGCTCTGATGTGCTTGGGTGGTTCTGTTCTTCGTTCTTATGTTTATTCAGGGTTCTTTAGGTTTTTCCAGTCAGACTCTGTTACATACAGCAGTTTGGTCCAAACAGAACATATAAGTCCATCACCATCAAACATGTCCATCGCCATCAAACAT